AAACTATACCCCCTTTCATTTATTAGATAGACAATTTACACTATGGCTTAACAATTTTATTCAACATAACTCTATATCACCCCTTTCTAATTACATAGTCTAGAGATTTTTCAACCATTCTAGCTAAGAATAGGTTGAGGGTAAATCTTAGCCCTAACTTCTACTCCCTTTCGTTAAATGTATAAATTTGTACAGTTGTATCTAATTATATATTTTAAAATAAAGGAATAGAGAAAAGACCTCTCTTAAAAAAAAAAAAAAAAAAAAAAAAAAAAACAAGAAGTTATAAGTTGTGTAAATCTTTTTCATATATAATAGCTAATCGTTTATATTCTTTTAAAGCTGCATTCGGACTTATTAAAAATGTAGAGTCAAAGGTTAATATATAAAGAGTTTCCCATGAAGTGGCATAGCTCATTGCAACATATATCTGACCTTTAGCAAATACAGATTCGTCTATGCTAGTAGTGATGTGGGGTAAGGTTAAGCCCTGTACTTTGTAAGTGGTAAGAGTGAATGCATTTTGGAGAAAAAATTGTTGTCTTGAGGTAGCTTGACCATTAATATAGAAGTATGATGTTTTTTTTTGAACCATCACTTTGCTTATACCTTTAGAAGTAGGAAAAGTAACTTCAATATTATGATTATCAATAAGCTTAGTTACGATTCCAATAGTGCCATTGCAGATACCATCATCAAAAAGTTTGTTGTTTAAGAATATTACTCTGGCTCCTTCTTGTAAATATAGATAGTTAGATAAGTTAGTTATAGTTTTGAATTGAGAAATAGAGTGATTGGGTTGTAATGATTGAAAGTTTAACGAGTCATTAGATTCTAAAATTATAGGTCACAAGAGGTTTGATCTAATAGTAGATAGTGACAAAGTAAGTGATTTATATTATTAGCGGCTTGACAGGTGGGTACAATATGAGTCGTGTCAAAGAATTTAGTAGGGGAAATATGAGAGTTTATTTTAGATGCAATAATGTCGTAGCACAAAATATTGGTGGAAAAACTATTTACTCTGCTTTAAAAATAAGATTTCAGAATAATCAATATAAAATGCTAATTCATTCTGATTCTGATGCTACATCAAGATTAAAAGAAATTAAATTCCTTGTGATTGATAAAATATCCATGGTAGATGCTGACCTATTTACTTATATTAGTAACATTTTTGCAAAGATTCATGATAATAATCTTCTTTTTGGAGGCTTAGTAGTGGGAAACTTGGCTCAACTTCCACCTGTACGTCCTTTTCCTGTTTTCTGTTCTCTAGCATGGCTTCGATTTTTTCCACTATTTTTCACTACACCCCAAAGACAATGTCATGATATAGATTTCTATAATGTCCTACAAGAAATACGTATTGA